GTTGGGTGTAGATTATTCGATGAACGAGGATTCAGTAATCAATCTCTCTCACCCTCCAACTACATAGATTACTCCTCAGAATCTTAAGCCTCTGCCATCCTATTTTGTGTAGTTGTGTGTCAATGCACGTAGTGCAATTGCTGAGCTTTCTTCTAAATCACTCATCTTCTCTGGGTCAAACATTTTTACCTTAACTAAATTGTTATGTTCCGATAATCTGATTACCCCTGATCTACTATAGTTGACCTATATAGTTGATTTCATTGACAGTCACTGCAGGGTATTTTGTAAATTATATTATTTTGTCTAATGGGACCCAACTTCACTGTCCTTTAATCTACAGAGCTTGTCCCTGACTGAGTGAGTTTGAAGCTTTGGACGCCACTCTAATTCCGGCTTCATCAAGAATCCTACGTAGGGAGTGTCTCAGATTTCCCCCTCCTTATATGGTATAATAGCAGATGACTTACATTCTCTCTTATTTATGTTATTATTAGTTCCACAATTATTTTAATTTGCTTTTGGCCTTTTTCGATCTTCCTAATGAATTTTAAAGGATAGTTATTTAACACCAACGCCTCCTCTATCTGTTTTAGTTCATCATTTAGGTCTTTTCTTGTGCTATTCAGTACTATGGCTTGGTATGTTACACATTTAACTAAGCCTGCCTTAACAGTTAACCGATGAGGTGATGAATTAAAGAGGTCTAAATATCTATTAGCAGAATGTGTTGACTTTTTATAAACGCTGCTAGTGTGCAGTTTACCTTCTTCTATTCGCTTTATTTTACAATCTAACTGCACAGCTAATTCTCCTTGTTCATTGTCTGTTTCAAATGTGAATTTTATTCCCTCTACTAGTGAATTTATGTGTGTGTCAAGAAGCTAGACAGAGAGAGAGAGAGATATGTTCTGCTTTTAACACTGTCGTTCAAACTTTTAACTAACTAATTCATATATGAAATGAAAAATAAACTAAATGACAGTCAACTAGAAAATGATAAAACAGTGGTTAGTTTTGATATAACTAGTCTTCTATACTAATATACCAACCAGTTAACTACAAGCTGAATGGATTAAGATTTCAAAACTAGACTCGGAAAGGCAAGACAGAACATCAACACTTTGCAATCAGTTTGGAGATCTTCTGCACTCACCAATATAATGAATGAAATTCGAATTTTGAACACCAACGTTAAATCAGTCAATTTTTACACACAGCTAAGAAAATTGGCCAGAGCGTGACAAAATGCATTTAAAACAAGCTAATGAGGACTTCTATCGGTAAGTGTTCACTTCGTTGGCTCTATTTCGGAGATCAAACGGTTAGAAAGAATTGCTAACAAGAAAATATGGGAACAAAACAACTACCGAACGGCGAAGTTCAACAATAGCGTCCCAGGAGTGTGAACGCTCCGATGAAGTTGAACGCATGATAATTGTTGGCTGACGGAATCTGTCATTATCATACCTGAAATATCAAGGCTATTTACCAACTTAGGAGCAAAATTTCACCCAGATCACTTTTTTAAGTACTGTTTGGACAATGTGTTAATAGCTCGTTAGGGTTAGAATTAGGGTTAAGGTAAATATTGAGGTTAGGATTAGGATCAGGGTTATAATTAGGATTAGGGTTAGAATTATGGTTTGGATAAGGGTTATGATTAGGGTTAGTGTTAGGGTCAGGATTAATCTTATGGTTACAATTAGGGAAAGATTTACAGTTGATGTCATTGATTTTAATTTTTCTGTTATCCACGTTTTCCTGGTAAGTATTCATCTGTCCTCTTGCTGGAAACCATTACAATTCAACCGAGGGCTGTTTTGGAAGACTGCAAGCAGGATGGGAGAGATGAACGATTCAGAACAACAGTTTATTTGTAGTGATCACGATGAGTACATGTACAGAAACTAGTCTAACATGGCAACTGATACTCCTCGATATAACTAGGTTGTATTTTTAGCTATATCAGAGAAAGATAACCTGATTAGTGCGTTTTCAAGCATTTTCTTGTCAATATACATGAATTGGAATTGATAGTGTTCTCTGAGCTCCTTGGTTTAATTGCGGTGCTTTCATCGTCTTTCTGGACGACATCTTCAGCGCAGTATTTAGGATAAAGTGAAATGATTTAAATTTCTATTATTTCAATATACATGAATTTCGATCAAACATTCATTTTTATGGTTGGTTAGCTCAAGGTCACTCGTGCGTTCGCACACCTGGGACGCTATTGATCAACTTTGCTCACCAAAATATAGCTCAACAAATACGTAGAAGAACCGAGGAAATTGATTTGGTATACACTGGGCATACAATCGAATGACTTCGTGCACCATTCCAGTGTTAGAGAGGAACGCCGCGAAATTGGAAATGATGAGTTAGGCGTCGCATCAAAGATGGCACGGTGAAGATCGTGTCTGAGGGCCCAGTTAAAGAGGACTGAAGAAAACAGGACCAAGTGGAATGGAAACATTCTGTTGAAGCCCTATATTCTACCTGGAACCCAAGGGAACAATAATGAATAATCATACGCATTAAGGGTCTTCATCTGTCGTATTGCTACAGATATCTGCTCAGAATCCCATATTCTATTAGGACCGACTTGCCTTGTATCGTACTATGAGCCACACCTATTGTCTGAAGGATTGGAAAACCAATACTCACTTACTCGGGTTCACGTAAGTAGAGCCGGGTTCAAACAAAAAATTCCATCGTCTATTAGTTGAGTACCCAAGGTGGTGAGATGCATTTCTGAATCTTACCTTTCAGCAGACTAGCTGAGGGATTTCATTGGTTGCACGATTTCATCATGAGTTGACACTGGTTAGAGAACCATTGAAAAACCAGCTGGAAGTACTGAACAGCTGTTTCGTCAGCCTAGTTTGGGACTCTTCAGCAGTACGCACCCACCAGAGCGGGTCGAAACTAGGACCTTCTGGTCACAAGGCTAGCGAGCCTGTGGACCATTAAGCCACTGGGACCCAATTCAATCGCCCATGAATTCTAACTTCTGCCGATTCACGACATAGCGCGACCACTAGCGGTCACTAGCGACTTGCCCTATTCAGATAGGTAATTACCCGGGGTTCTAGTTAGAAGTCGTGACCAGTAGGGTGCAGCGGGTCGGGTGTGAGGACAAATACTCCTCACCGAAGACATTGGCTAGCTGTCGCGCTAGCTATGTCGTGGATTGGCAGAAGTTAGAATTCATGGTCTGACCATTGGATCGGGTCCCAGTGGCTGAACAGTCTACTCGATCGCCTTGTAACCAGAAGGTCCTGGGTTCTAGCCCCTGTGGTGAGTGCGTGCTGCTGAAAAGTCCGGAACTAGTAATATGTTCAAACCCTGATGGTGGCTGTAGACTTACAAAAGAGCCCTAGACCAGGACGAAACAGCTGTCCAGTAGTAGTCCCTCCTGGTTTCCCAATGCTCCTCTAACCGATGTCACTTCATGATGAAATCCTGAAGCCAATGAAATTCCTTCAGTTAGCAGAAGTGAAGATCCGTGGGATATTGGATCCGATCCACACCAGCTAAATGGTCAACGAGATCACCTCGTGATCTGACCTACCGTTTGAATTTCTGCACACAACTTTTCACAGAAGTTCAAAAAGATTTCAAACTATAGTGAACAGAAATATACTGCAAGGGGAAGCCATAGTATGGTAGAAAAACATCAGGATTCGATAGAGATCTAATGAGATTTAGAAAAAGAGTGAATGCATTCGCACCCCTGAGAACGATTTTGGTTTTTGAGACATACGTTAGTTGCTAACACTCTCAATCCTCTGGTTCTTAGCATCCAACTCATCAGTTCAACCAGGCCGTCTAAAGAGTGACTTTATTGCATATCCTTGCTATCTGTAGCATCGTAGTCGGTGGTTATGGGGATTCGACAACGCATTATGTGTCTTTGCATGCTTTTTATATGAACTTTTGCATAAAAATAACTTTCTCTGGTGTACGTATTATCGGTGGCACTATCTGTTTGAACTGCGTTAACCACTTGTAGCACTTTTAACAGAAAATGTCGCTTGATACTGATAGCTGATATATCAATATTGTAAAGGATTAAAAAAGGTAGTAGGTTCAAACGTTAGACGTATTATATTATTGAATTTTCATGAAGTCATGCTGGTGCATTTTGGCCTAATTACTGAAAAGTCCTAATCCCCATCAGCTAAAATTGGCGCTACTTAGGAAGAGGAATACGTCATATAATCGCCCCTTAATCTAAACATCTCTAAGTGACTGGCTCAAATCCAGGTGACAAAGACTCGATTGGTTAATTTTGGGTTTCCGACTACTCCTAACCGTTTTCTAACCTAATCGGATATCAGCATCGTAGCCGTATTGATTTAGTGCTATACTGCTAAAGAGTCCCAAACAAGGACGAAACACCTGTACAGTACGCCTTAGACATTTTCAAAAATTCACATTTAACGAAAGCTCCGCAATAGGAGAACTAACCAGCTCAGAGAACATCCACCTTAGCTATTAAAATCTTCTCTATTATTTTTCTCCAACTGATTTCTCTTCATACACAGAATAATAGAGCCTTAGAAAAATATGAATGACACTCAAAAATTGAATGATTGATCATAAACGGTGGTCGTAGAGATCAGATGGCTGTGCCGGAAAGAATCACCAACAAGAAACTATGCGAATGAACAAACAAAACAAGAACCAATCGCCGACCAACAAATATTCTGCAGGAGAAAGTGGATGGAGATGGATTGGACACTCGCTGAGGGGGCCACCGCTTGGCGAGTGGGACGTCAGTGCATGGGTGACATGGCGGAGGTCGTGTGAAGATGAGTCGAAACATGGATACAGGTGAAAAGTACAGCAGAAGGAAGACAAAAGCAAGTGGAGACGTGCAGTTGAAGCCCTATGTGTTCCACTAGGAACCCAAGGGAACAATAATAATAATAATATAATAATAATAATGATAAACGGTGGCACAAAGAAAGGTGTGAAGACGCCTACTCACTCACCTGGAATTTCTTGTGTATGATTAGAAGAAGGCCACATTGATGGTTGTGTATCGCTTATATGTCCTGTAAATAATCCACTCGCTACACTAATCAATTGTTCTTGTGTTGTAATCAATATACGCAGAGCTTGTCGTGATGATGATGATGACGATAATGCAGCGGAAGTAGACAAAATAGAAGGATGAGGTAATTGTGTTGTTGATAAATCTGTTTTATATCTGTGCTGTACTCCATTATAATATTCCTGAAATTGTGTAACAGTAGTAGGAGGATGAGGGGAATGAGGAGCAGCGGGAGCAGGAGCTGGAGGTGTAAGTGGTGTGGTAATATCCAATTCTTCGTCATCATGAAGTTGGACTCGCTTATCGCTTATCTGTAACACATCAAACTGTTGTTGTTGACGGTGTTGTCGAGGATCACGTTGACGTTGATGGTGATGATGATGATGGTCTATAAGGATGCTAGATTCTCTTTCTGCTGTTGTCCAAATATAACAACCACGTTCAATATTATCCGTATGCTCTAAGACATAAGTCAATAATACGAAGGGAAAGGGGGGTAATTGTAGTACTATGAATCATAAAACTAATCTGAATAAGAATAATAACTCTGAACTTCATTCATCAATCGATAAGAGGTATTTTTGACTCGACATTCTTAAAAAAAAGGGAAAATTACGACGTGTAAATTCACAACATAAGTATAAATCCACGTTTGTTTCGTTCTGATGACGTAATCAATCACATAGATACGTGTGTACATACATTATATGGTTTTATCACTTCCGTTACTAATGTTATCTCAAAGTAACCCAGACCATGTTGAGATATTTCCACAGTTTGAGTACTCATCAACATATTTGTATATATATATATTCATTCCTTAATTATCCATGACTGGTATTTGAAAAATAACAATAATAATAATAATAAAACGATTGCCAAGAAATTAATTTATGTATATATCTATATGGGTATTAGTATATTTTATACCCTCCTAAAGATTGAGAGAGCAGTAAGCTAATGGAACATAGATTGAGGCTGTTGTATATAAATAAATCGACGCATTGATTGATTGATTGATTTTTACTATTATTATTATTGCTCTCTCTCTCTCTTGTTGTTATTACTATTAGTATTAGTATGATTCGTTTCCTTTACAATATATATATATATCCAGAAAGGTATTATCGATCGATAATTGAGGCAAGGATTCTTTCTTCTTCGCCTATCCATCTTCTAGTAGTCGTTGTTGTTGAATAGTAGATAGTCAGGGATGGATAAACGGACACATGGATGGGTGGATGGATGGATGGTTGGAGTGAGAGACGGACAGATAGGGGATAAAGGCTTTAGTTTTAGAAGAAAGGCGATTCAGTTTTACAGGATAGATACTAACTCACCAACTCGCTCACCCGCTCACTCACTTACAAACTAGCCAACTTACTATTGAGCTAATAACCGCATTTTGGGGAGGGGGGGAGATATTTGAGGAGAAAATAGAGTGTGTGTGTATGTGTGAGAGAGAGACAGAGAGAGAAGAGATGAAAAGAGAAGAGTCTTATAATAGGGGATTGGTTGAATTTACAGTTTATATATATGCATATGTATATATTCCACATTGATTCCAGCAAAACTTTAGCATACAGACAAATAAAAACAGAAAAGTCAATTGACGAGACTTTTTAATGGGGTTTTACTTTATGAAAATAGAATTGAACCTGTGCCAGAAAATGAAATAGCAATGGCGATAATAGCAATAATCAGTCTGGTCAGTCATCATAGTCGAATCAGCTTTTAGAGGCAAGATGGCATTCAAATACATTAGGGAAGTAAGGAAGTGGATAATGAGTAAGGGAGTGGGCTAAACATACGGCAAGGTTATAATGCATTCAGGTGATTAGATTCGATTCGATTAGACTAGACCATCTATTTGTATAAGTAAGATGTAGGTGAAGCTATTGAGAGGGAAATGCGATTCGGGAATCGGAGACATAGATTTTGTATTATCCCCTATTATTTACTAATATTGTTACTATGCCACACTTGAGATTGTTTGTCATGGCGACAAAAAATGTTGACCTCAGTCAAGCCTTAATTAGTAATTAAAAATGCAAAGAAAACAAAGAAAAAGGCGAAAGGAAAAATCGGGTAAAATGTTTTGACTGAATGCTATTTTGATTAGGTTGTTTAATTACAATGTGTTAGTAGGACGCTTGTTTCCATGGCTATTAATTTCGTGGAATTGTACGCGCCAGAATTTTCAAGAGTAGGATGAGTGGTGGTATCCCATTAAGCCATATTGTTGACATTATCACTGATAGGCAGGCACTTGATGGCATGCAAAAAATTTGCTGAAGGAATTTTGTTATACATTGAGCATCCACTGCAGTATCCGCAGCTCCAACCTTGTGTCGCCTCAGGTAAAACAAGAAGTCTTTTCAGAAGGATTTATGCACGTACGTCTAAGTATAAAAATTTCACTATACCATATTTGGCTGCACTTACTTTATGCGATGAAAATAGTGTTAGGTATGAACTAACTAACTAACCTTCTTTGCACTACTAAATAAACCATTTCCTACACCCTTAGAGTATCCAACTTTACTGTTAATTTTGTAATTCCCCTCACCATGCTGCTATATCAACAGAACATTAGATTCAATACTCTATAGTAACATGCTAAAATTTCCAAACTGAATCGACATTACTGTTTGAAACAAACTCACCCTTATTATTATTATTATTATTATATTTAAAACTCTTAATTCGTGCTTCGAATATTTTTGACTTTATATCGTAAACGTGGATAAAATCCTCTGGTTAATTTCTGTTTTAACTTTTAATTTTATTTATATATTTTAAATAAATCAAATGCGAGATATTGTGACAAATGCTGAGAATTCCATTCTGTATTATTAGTAGTGCTGTTTTTGGAATAAAGCAGATTATTATTATATTAACACCCGTGTTAAGTCAGTCAGTGTTTATGTACATATATATGGGGTTCAGAGACTTATCGCGCGTGGATCACAAGCCACTGCAAACTTTTATCAACAGCCCCTGTCTTCGATAGATGTATATTAAAGATTAGACCTCGAGTGGAACACAAATGGTAATGAAAGAATGAATTGGGTGTAGATTCAAAGATGACTTAGGGGGAGATTGTGTGACAATAAGAGGAAATTTTATGGTACCAGTTGTGGTGCCAGATAAAGACGATTGCAGAAAACACGATGAAATGTTCGCTAACCACATAATAGTTCAGAATTTAATCCCTGGATAACCCACACCTAATCCTGTCTTGGTTAACTAACTGATACCTTGAGGGTTAATTTCCAATTGAAGCACTCTGAAGTTTCGAGTAGATGGTAAAAAGCCGGGTAATTGGTTGTTAAGAGTGTGTGGCTTGTAGCCAGTGGTAATAAAACTCTTTTTCTGATGTGGTTGGTGTTCTCTGAGCTGGTTAGTTAATTTGAGAAGCTTTCATCGCCCTCTCTACTAGGCAACATCTTCAGCGCATGCACTTCAATTCGATGAAGTGAGCTTTCAGATTTCTTCACGAGTTTATTAATCAGTTCTTCTAGTTGGTGGGTGACCTTCAACGTGATTGGTTGTTTTTGCGTGTTCTCACACCTTCTCGGTTACTTGTATTAGAACTGTGATTGTTTCTTTGACTTGAACTTTGACTCTATGTATGTATGTATGAGGTTTCCTTCTTATCGATTGATAAATTTCATCTATCTCGATATGTCTATTGACTGATGATTCACTGGAATACCAGGCAGACTTTTAAAAGTTCTCTAGCATTCTTGTTGTTTCCTCTGTCGTCTAATATTTGAACGTTGGTTGTCCCAGTCGAATTGATGTCCGTGGTTGTCTGTTTTTCTCACTTGTTACAATTTATTTTGTAGATGATGTCGGTTTTATCCTCTTTCGCTGTTGAGTCTTTTGTCTGACATAAAGCCAGCCGAGTGAAGTGATTGGTTTGTGTATGACGTCAATTCCTAAAGGTTTGAAGAGTCTTGTAGTGATTTCTGAGATATTTTCTTTGTGCTTTCCTTGTGGGCTTTTTGTTTGATAGGTTGGCTTGGGGATATATATCTTTTGATGAAATTCCGTGGAAGACGTTCATGAGATATCTTTCTTCAATTGTGCTTAAGGTTGGAGTGCTGCAATGAATCCTTGCCCTCATGTATAATAGTATTTGTATGCAATTCATTTTGTATGTTATTGGATTATTACTCGCAAATAAAGCTTGACAGCCTGTATTCCAGCTAAAGGGTGAAGGATAAACAAAATGTCTAATTGCAAGTGTTGAATTTGTAGACAGTAGTTGGTGGATATCAAGAGAGATTTTTTCATGAATCAACATCGATTGCCTTGTAAATTAATACACTGTCCATCAATGACTGCTGACAGCAACGCGATAGAATTGCTGAAATTCGTGTTGTAAAAATTCATGACTTCTGAGAGTTATCCAGTCAGAGGTAATGAGACATACTCGTTGATGACATCAAGTGACAGTGGTACCATGTGTCACTATTATTCACAAATAAGAGTCTATAAAAAGCACAAATACGTCCGGTGGCTAAATTGTGTACTAATCACCATAGAATGTAAAGTTCCTCGATTCTACATCTACTGGGTCATGAATTCAGGTGTCAAGCGATGATTGGTTTTCTATGGTTACATAAATCACATCAATTCTTGAAGAAGACTGTTTTGTCTGAAATCTAGTCTTTCCATATTAGTTTGTTTATTAGAGGCATCACACAGTCAATGAAACAGTATTATTATTTACTGGATGACGAGATTTCGAACACAATCTATTGCTGTTCATAATCATATCAATTATAATCACACGACTTTGAGAACTTGAGTCTCATAGTTTTCTTTCTTCTCTCTTATTTGTCGTCGTAGGGGTAGTGGGATTTTCCAGGTATCTGGTTGGACAGGTGGTGAATCATTCATTCCTATTACACGTATATCCTGTCAGGTGATTCGTTAAACAAAGCTTCTATTATCAATGTCTACCTCCATTCACCCTGTGATATTAGATTTTAAAACTGTCATCTTGTCCCATCCTATACTGTATGGTTGTGTGTAATTGCATGTGGTGTAGTGCTATAGCTGAACTATTCTCCAGATTTCTTACCTTATTCGGGTCAACTAATCTAGAGTTTTGTAGGTTTTTATGGTAGGCTAGTCTGACTGACTGCCCCTGTTCTACTAGTTTGACCTATGTATTTCACCTGACAACCATTCCAGCAGGATATTAGATAAACTAAATTGTTTTGTTTTAAAGGCTCCACAGGACTGATCCTTTAACCGACAAAGGTTGTTTCTAATTGAGTTTGTGGGTGGTTTGAATGCCAACCACTTTTATTCCTGACTGCCTTGTTAAGAATTCTGCGTCAGGTGGTTTCCGAGGTTCTTTCCTTGTATTTAATTACTAGTGGTGATTTAGATTCCTGATTGTTGGTGTTGTCTTCTGCATACTCGACATGCGTGTCATCATTA